TGCACATCGTTTGCGGAAGCAACCCTCGCAGCATTCACACGCGACAGAAAGCAGTTCGGCTGCTCCGACTCCACTTGGACGGGATCGCCGTGCTTCTCAGTACTGGGGAGCCGGGCACGCCGGTCGTGCGCCTCGTAGTCGGCGACAACAACTTGACCGCGCAGGAGGCGCGTGAAGCTTTCCAACGCCACACTGACGACGAGGCGTTATGGGAAGTCTTCGCCCCCCCCGGCGGACCGCAAAGGCGACAACGTGGCAGTCTGCGGAGCAGTCGCGCGTTTCCAGCCCGTCGCTGTTGGCGCCTCCTACATGGACCGTGGCATGCGAAACGACGCACGCGATGCTGTTGCGGTCGTGCTCACCGCCCCTGATGCTTCTCAGCCTGGGGAGACAAAGAGGCGGAAGATTGCATTCGGAGGAGTGCCTGACGCCGACGCCGGCTCAGAGACCGAGGTGGAGGGCTCCTCGGTGCACTGGTCCCGGTCCCCGAGCCCCGCTCCTGTGCATGCACCGCTTTCACCGACGTCACCGGCCGACGCCGCAGCCTGCGACGAGCCCGAGGATGAAGTTAGTCGGCGCGCGCATGAGCTGCACAAGGAGTTGAGGGAGTATTTGGACCAGAGGTATGACGCGGCCTACGACCCGAAACTCCTCCACCACCTCAGCCTCTTGCTGTTCAAGAAGAGGACGTCCACGCAGCCTGCGGACAAAGATCCAGCTGGTGCTTCTCAGCCTGGCTCGGACTGTGACACCGCCTTCGCGTCACAGGCGGAGACTGTCCGAGCCATTGTGTCTGTCCTTAAGGTTCGCCATGAGTTTCTGCGGAGCAAAAACATCGCCGACTTGCGGCACGTCCTCACCGACGCTGAGCGCGGGGAACTCGTAAGACGTGTTCGCACAGAGTACGAGCAGTCCGAACACCAGCTGGCGCTACAGGAACGAGATGGCGAGAAGGGGAAAGCGAAAGGCAAGACTCCACCACAAGGTTCTAGCGGAACTTTCAGCCTGCGGGAAAAGGCGAAAAGGGGAAAGCGAAAGGCAAGACTCCACCACAAGGTTTTTGCGGAGCTTCTCAGTCTGCGGGAAAGGGCGAGGAGGGGAAGGCGAAAGGCAAGACTCCACCACAAGGTGGCCAGCCCCAAGGGGCAGGCCAAGGGAGTCTCGCTAAGTTCCTCAGAGAGCAGAAGCGTAAGCGGTGGTGCCGGCATCTGCAACGTGTGTGCGGCACAAAACAGATCTGGGAGGTGCTGGCTTTCTCCGGCCGCTTCGACGTTGACATGGCAGAATTCACGGCAAAGTTTCGTTTTGACACACTGCGAGCGTTGATAGCAGTGCCTCCTTTTTACACGACTGCCACTATTGATAGCAGTGTCTCGTTTTGACACACTTCCAGCGTTGATAGCAGTGTCTCCTTTTTACAAGACTCCCAAAATTCATGGCAGAGTTTCGTTTGGAAACACTTCCAGCGTTGATAGCAGCGTCTCCATCTTACACGACTCTCCCCATTCATAGCAGTGACTCGTTTTGACACACTCCCAGCGTTGATAGCAGTGTCTCCTTTTTACGCGAATACCCCACATTCACCCATTACCGCCAACACCATCCCCGTCCCTCGACACATGTCCGTCATTCCCCCCGCCCCCCGCCCCACCCTCAAACCACCACCAGGGACCTACCCTCCAACGTGAGTCGCCCCCAATCGGACCCCACCCGCCCTCCCCCCATACACGACCCCCCTCCCAACCCCCCCTTGCCCAATATTCATAGCAAAGTGCTGTTTTTTTCCACTCGTTCACTCAGCCAAATTACAACTACTACTTCTACTACTAGTACTCTGAGTGTCGCTCTTATTGCTACTACTGTGACTGTTAATGCTGCTGCATGGCTCAGCTATGCTTTCGACATATCGATTTGGGTTGCTTTTGCCGGATAATTTACCGAAACAGCGAAAGACTGATAGGTTTCTTAGTGGTGTCAAAAGAAAGCGCAGATGACTCCACAGGGGGGTCTGGGCAGCCGTTGGGGAGGTGTTGGGGGGCCGTTTGGGGGCCGTTGGGGATTGCCGGGGAACCTCGTTTTTCGCAAACAGTCACACACTTCGTGCTCTTCGACCTCCCAGAACTCCATTCTTCGACCTCCCAGAACTCCATTCCCGGGCCACATTCTGAATGCCCGGAGCCAACTGTAGGCCACTTCGTGCTCTTCGACTTCCCAGAAATCCATTCCCGGGCCACATTTTGAATGCCCGGAGCCAACTGTAGGCCACTTCGTGCTCTTCGACTTCCCAGAACTCCATTCCCGGGCCACATTTTGGATGCCCGGAGCCAACTGTAGGCCACTTCGTGCTCTTCGAGTTCCCAGAACTCCATTCCCGGGCCAGATTTTGGATGCCCGGAGCCAACTGTAGGCCACTTCGTGGTCTTCGAGTTCCCAGAACTCCACTCCCAGGCCAGATTTTGGATGCCCGGAGCCAACTGTAAGCCACTTCGTGGTCTTCGAGTTCCCAAAACTCCATTCCTGGGCATGAATTTGAATGCCCGGAGCCAACTGTAGGCCATTCCCGGGCCAGATTTTGGATGCCCGGAGCCAACTGTAGGCCACTTCGTGGTCTTCGAGTTCCCAAAACTCCATTCCTGGGCATGAATTTGAATGCCCGGAGCCAACTGTAGGCCATTCCCAGGCCAGATTTTGGATGCCCGGAGCCAACTGTAGGCCACTTCGTGGTCTTCGAGTTCCCAGAACTCCATTCCTGGGCATGAATTTGAATGCCCGGAGCCAACTGTAGGCCACTTCGTGTTCTTCGAGTTCCCAGAACTACATTCCCGGGCCACATTTTGAATGCTGAGGCAGGCTGAGGCTGAGGCTGAGGCTGAGGCAGGCTGATGCTGAGGCAGGCTGAGGCTGAGGCTGAGGCTGATGCAGGCTGAGGCTGAGGCAGCCTGAGGCTGACGCCGAGGCTGAAGGCAGACTGAGGCTGAGGCTAAAGCAGGCTGAGGCTGAGGCTGAGGCAGGCTGAGGCTGAGGCAGGCTGAGGCTGAGGCTGAGGCAGGCTGAGGCTGAGGCTGTGTCTGTGACTGCCGTTGCCACTGCGACTGTCATCGCGAATGCGACTACGACTGCGAGAACAGCACAATTCTACAACTGGATTCTCATCTGAATCTTAAGGGGAATGCTTCCAGATATGTTCCTACACATCGCTGTTAGGTTGCTTTGCCGGGATAATCAGTAACAGATATTTTCGGTTTTTCGGTGCGACAGAGACGGCCCCCAATTCCTCCAACGTCGCCCCAGGAAGGCCCCAACCAAGGTGGCTCCAGACGGCCCCAAGAGGCGCCCAAATCGGACCAAGAGGACCCTATGCAAACCTCCTCGGTCAATGTGTCTGTGTGCGCGGGCGCTCTCTCAATGGCCGACAATGAACATGAGCAGATGCACTGCCAGAGGCCCGGTGGAGCTCCCCATGAGGCCACGAAAAGTGTGAGGGGTGTGCCGACATGGGCGCAGTGGTGTTATGCGAGCGCAGCCACTAAGGCCCTCGGTGGAGCTCCAATGGGTGCTAACCGCCGTAGCCGGTTACCCTCGAGGCGCTCGTGGCTCTCACCGCGCCCCAGGCCCACTGCAGCACCAGACTGCGGTGACGGCAAGCAGCTCTTGCAGAGCGAGCAACAAGCACAGTACCTCGTCGCGTTTTGATCCTGAGAGTCATTCCACAACGGCGCCGAAATGGGTGCGGCGGTGTCATGCAAGCGCACGCAGCCACTGGGACCCTCGGTGGAGCTCCCTCTATGAGGCCACGAAAAGTGTGAGAGGCGTGCCGAATTGGGTGCCGTGGCGCCATGCGAGCGCAGCCTCTGGGACCTTCGGTGGAAATCCACGAAAAATGTGAGGAGTGTGCCGAAATGGTTGACTGGCGCGAAGGGCAGAGGCAGGGATGGGAGGAGGGGCGAGGAGGAGAAGGAGGAACGCGGATCGCTGTCTCTTCAAAACGAAGACCCAATACAAGAGGATGGTTGGGACAAACTACATAAGCATAAACTTTTCACGGTCTGCACGAATTTCTTGGTTCCGCGCTGGGCCCCCGTGGCGGCGCCTCCGGTGCCGCCCCTGGCGCGCTGCACCAGGAACCAGGGTCCAGCTCAGATCCAGGAAAGCCGCGTGGACCGTAACAAGTTTATGCGCGTGCAAGGTATTTTTCTTCTTATCCTTCATACTATTATGTTTATGCTTAGTATTGTTCCTTCTTCTTCTTCTTCTTCGACTCACCATCGGCTAAACAGCAAAACAAACGCCAGATATCCAAATCCACGAGGTGCAGCGGGGGATACGTCGGCGGAAGCCGAGGGCCCTGCTTCCGCCGGCCTCCTGCCACCCTGCCGCCGCAAAAAGATACACGACACCGCAGCAATCACGACCGGATACCTCGGCCACTCACCGAGGCCCGAGCCCCGTGCCCGGGCGGCAACGCTCGGTGTGCAACACGTGCGGTGTGCAAATCTCAGGGCCCATCGGCTCTGTGAAGGCGGTGCCCCTCCTGGAACGGACCACTGTCAGAACCCAGCCATGGGGAAGGAGCTGCGACCGTTTTTTTATGTTTGTTTTGTCTTTCGGGTAACGGTCGTTACGGCGTGCACCAGCCAGGGTGCGTCCGCGCCACCGGCGCATCCATCGCCTGCGTGCACCGCAGCGCAGCATGTAGGCGGGGGGTCCCAGGTCTCCGCCCCCCCAGTGCGCGATCGTTGGCGTTACCCAGGAGGGGGGGAGGAGGAGGGGTTAGCCTGGGTAACGAGCGTCACCCACGGGACGAAAACAGAACACTCACGCGCAAGAGTGCAAGGCGCAGGGGCAACTACTCTTGGACCGAGAAGCACAGAGCACCAAAGCATGGAACGCATGCCCAAAACCGCATGACGCAGGATTCCCCCTGCAGAGGATCCTCGTCGAGGCCGCGGGCTCTGACTGCATCACCATCATGGGCCCTCCCCCCCTCCCCGAAGCCGCGCCTCGCGGGCTGCCAGCGCCGCAGCTGGCTGGCGAGGGCAGAGGCCTGGGGAGGGGGAGAAGAGGGGGGAAGGGAAGCGAGTAGAAGGCGGAAGAAGAGGATAGAGGAGTCACAAACTGAAGACTCGACGGCTCAGACAAGGCAACGTGTGTCCAGTGTACCCCAAAACAGCAAACAGCAGAACCAGAAATGTTCGGAGGTCCGCGTGGATGCCTTGGATCGGCGCTGGACCCTCCTCGTGTTGCGCGCAGAGCGCGCCAAGGGCGGCGTCGGAGGCGCCGCAAAGGGGGCCCAGCGCCGACCCGAGTCTCGGAAGTCCGCGTGGTGCTCCGAACATTGATATTTGTATCCTTTTTTCTTCTTCGAAAGAGGGGCGGGAAGAGGGGCGAGGAGAGGGTGGAGACGCAAGCCCAATGAACTCCGCCGATTCGCCAAAGAATCGATGGAACCACGAGTTAAACAAAGAAAACGCAAGAACGCCTCAGCCGCGTTGGGTGCCACTGCGACTGTCATCGCGAATGCGACTACGACTGCGAGAACAGCACAATTCTACAACTGGATTCTCATCTGAATCTTAAGGGGAATGCTTCCAGATATGTTCCTACACATCGCTGTTAGGTTGCTTTGCCGGGATAATCAGTAACAGATATTTTCGGTTTTTCGGTGCGACAGAGACGGCCCCCAATTCCTCCAACGTCGCCCCAGGAAGGCCCCAACCAAGGTGGCTCCAGACGGCCCCAAGAGGCGCCCAAATCGGACCAAGAGGACCCTATGCAAACCTCCTCGGTCAATGTGTCTGTGTGCGCGGGCGCTCTCTCAATGGCCGACAATGAACATGAGCAGATGCACTGCCAGAGGCCCGGTGGAGCTCCCCATGAGGCCACGAAAAGTGTGAGGGGTGTGCCGACATGGGCGCAGTGGTGTTATGCGAGCGCAGCCACTAAGGCCCTCGGTGGAGCTCCAATGGGTGCTAACCGCCGTAGCCGGTTACCCTCGAGGCGCTCGTGGCTCTCACCGCGCCCCAGGCCCACTGCAGCACCAGACTGCGGTGACGGCAAGCAGCTCTTGCAGAGCGAGCAACAAGCACAGTACCTCGTCGCGTTTTGATCCTGAGAGTCATTCCACAACGGCGCCGAAATGGGTGCGGCGGTGTCATGCAAGCGCACGCAGCCACTGGGACCCTCGGTGGAGCTCCCTCTATGAGGCCACGAAAAGTGTGAGAGGCGTGCCGAATTGGGTGCCGTGGCGCCATGCGAGCGCAGCCTCTGGGACCTTCGGTGGAAATCCACGAAAAATGTGAGGAGTGTGCCGAAATGGTTGACTGGCGCGAAGGGCAGAGGCAGGGATGGGAGGAGGGGCGAGGAGGAGAAGGAGGAACGCGGATCGCTGTCTCTTCAAAACGAAGACCCAATACAAGAGGATGGTTGGGACAAACTACATAAGCATAAACTTTTCACGGTCTGCACGAATTTCTTGGTTCCGCGCTGGGCCCCCGTGGCGGCGCCTCCGGTGCCGCCCCTGGCGCGCTGCACCAGGAACCAGGGTCCAGCTCAGATCCAGGAAAGCCGCGTGGACCGTAACAAGTTTATGCGCGTGCAAGGTATTTTTCTTCTTATCCTTCATACTATTATGTTTATGCTTAGTATTGTTCCTTCTTCTTCTTCTTCTTCGACTCACCATCGGCTAAACAGCAAAACAAACGCCAGATATCCAAATCCACGAGGTGCAGCGGGGGATACGTCGGCGGAAGCCGAGGGCCCTGCTTCCGCCGGCCTCCTGCCACCCTGCCGCCGCAAAAAGATACACGACACCGCAGCAATCACGACCGGATACCTCGGCCACTCACCGAGGCCCGAGCCCCGTGCCCGGGCGGCAACGCTCGGTGTGCAACACGTGCGGTGTGCAAATCTCAGGGCCCATCGGCTCTGTGAAGGCGGTGCCCCTCCTGGAACGGACCACTGTCAGAACCCAGCCATGGGGAAGGAGCTGCGACCGTTTTTTTATGTTTGTTTTGTCTTTCGGGTAACGGTCGTTACGGCGTGCACCAGCCAGGGTGCGTCCGCGCCACCGGCGCATCCATCGCCTGCGTGCACCGCAGCGCAGCATGTAGGCGGGGGGTCCCAGGTCTCCGCCCCCCCAGTGCGCGATCGTTGGCGTTACCCAGGAGGGGGGGAGGAGGAGGGGTTAGCCTGGGTAACGAGCGTCACCCACGGGACGAAAACAGAACACTCACGCGCAAGAGTGCAAGGCGCAGGGGCAACTACTCTTGGACCGAGAAGCACAGAGCACCAAAGCATGGAACGCATGCCCAAAACCGCATGACGCAGGATTCCCCCTGCAGAGGATCCTCGTCGAGGCCGCGGGCTCTGACTGCATCACCATCATGGGCCCTCCCCCCCTCCCCGAAGCCGCGCCTCGCGGGCTGCCAGCGCCGCAGCTGGCTGGCGAGGGCAGAGGCCTGGGGAGGGGGAGAAGAGGGGGGAAGGGAAGCGAGTAGAAGGCGGAAGAAGAGGATAGAGGAGTCACAAACTGAAGACTCGACGGCTCAGACAAGGCAACGTGTGTCCAGTGTACCCCAAAACAGCAAACAGCAGAACCAGAAATGTTCGGAGGTCCGCGTGGATGCCTTGGATCGGCGCTGGACCCTCCTCGTGTTGCGCGCAGAGCGCGCCAAGGGCGGCGTCGGAGGCGCCGCAAAGGGGGCCCAGCGCCGACCCGAGTCTCGGAAGTCCGCGTGGTGCTCCGAACATTGATATTTGTATCCTTTTTTCTTCTTCGAAAGAGGGGCGGGAAGAGGGGCGAGGAGAGGGTGGAGACGCAAGCCCAATGAACTCCGCCGATTCGCCAAAGAATCGATGGAACCACGAGTTAAACAAAGAAAACGCAAGAACGCCTCAGCCGCGTTGGGTGTCACCGCTCAGGGGGGCCCCTGTGCGCAGGTGACACTTGGCCTCAAGATACTCAAGGGCTCCACATAACAGGACCTGTGCGCTGGGCGGACGGGACGCGAGGCGAGGACCGGAGGGCGAGGAGGGCGGAAGAGGACGAGGAGGAGGCGAATGAAGAGCGGGAGGTGGGCAGGAGAGGGGCAAATGAAGGGAGGGGCAGTCGACGCTGCGGGCGTGTCGCCCCCGGAGCTCGGCTACATAAGAGACGGTGGGGGCAGGGCAGAGAAGGAGAAGGAGGAGGAGGAGCAGCCCTGGGCCGCTGATCAGGGAAGCTTACGAGGCTGGCATCAGCCACAGATCCCTCCTTTCCTGTCCTCTTCTCCTGGCCCCACAAATGGCCGAACAGCGGTCCGTGCAACTCGTGAGTCTGAGCGAGCAGGCGCCTCTCTGACAGGTCATGCCGAGCCGTCGTGGCTACAGGTGGCACCTTTTCACACGCATGTGTCGCCCAATCGTACTGGCTGACTTTTCCTTGATGCATCTCTGGCTCCAGACGCTCCCCTGAAGCAGTGCAAACGACAAAACCGCACATCGAAAGAGGGCAGAGAACGAAACAGGGAGGGGAGGGAAACAAGGAGGGCATGAGAGGACAACAGCTGTGTGTGTGCGCGCGCGTGTGCGAGCCTGTGCGTGTGTGCGCGCGCGCTCCGTGTGTGTGTGTGTCCTCGCCGCTGCCCCGTGAGGGGTCGGCAACTCCTCCCGTTCCATCTACCGGCTTCCAAGGCGTTCCTGGAACCCACACTAAGCCCAACGTTAGTTTGCTTAGCCGTGCTGTGCCTGCTTGCTCGGCCGCGAGGCTTCGCGCGCGAGGCCACGACAGCCAACAAGTGTGTGTGTGTGTGTGTTTGTGTGTGAATGTGTGTCTATGTGTGCGTGTGTGCGTGTGTGTGGGAGAGAGAGAGAGAGAGAGAGAGAAACACAGAGAAAAAGAGACTGAGAGAGAGAGAGAGAGACAAAATAAACCCACACTGCATCTTGGGATAACGACCCAAATCCCCAAGCCGCGCGGTCTTCCCCAGTGTGACCACCGCATCTTTTGGGGGCCCCCGAGTCCGCCAACCCCGCCCCGCTGGGGACGCGCGCGCCTCAGGGCAGCCATCGCCACGGACGCGAGGGCGAGGAGGGCGACCGCCTCAGGCGATCGGGGGGGGCATCTGGCTTCCCTTGTCTTTGGGACGCCCGAGATGGGTATGGAACGAGTGGGTAATTTGCACGTGCCGATTACGTATCCCATTACGTATCCCTCCCTGCGGTGCCCCGCTGTAAGGCTAGCGAATTCAAGACCCGAACAACACCACACTGGGCTAAAACGGGGGATCTCCGAGAATCCGGAAGTTGTGGAAAGCAAATTGGGCACCGCGGCCGTTCCAGAGTTCTCTGGAACGCTCTGAGAGAGCCCTGGAAAGCCCTGGAACGACTTATCCGCGCCCTGGTCCCGCCCGAGGCTGGCAACTCCTGGGAAGCCTTCGTGGGCACGACGAAGCGCTATTAAACAAACGCCATATGAAATGGTGAACTAGAACAACCACCATGCTACTATAAGAGATGGCTCGCCGCTGGATCCCCCCAAATGGGAGGGGGGGAAGGGACCCCCCCCCTTTTCCCCGGTCCGTTGTCGGAGACCCCCTCCTTTCCTGGTCCGTCGTCGGGGACCTCCCTCCGTTTTCCTTGTCCGTCGTCGGGGACCCCCCCCCGCTTTCAAAAGAGGGGGGGGTCCGACCCCCCCCCCCTTTGGGCTCGAAATTGGATCCCCCCTCTCCCTTCGCAACGCCGCCCACTGACTCCAGAACCCGCCCCCCTTTCCCACCACCCCTAACCCAAATTCACAAGAATTCCAGACTCCAAACCAAACCCCTAACACTAGCCCCAAACAGTGATCGATACTCACTACACACTACCCACTACCCACTATTCACTACTCACTGCTTCCTACTCATTACTCCCTACTCACTACTCACTACCCACTAGTTTGTTCTCTCTGCCCACTACGCGCGACTCACTGCCCTCTACTCACTACTCACTACTCACTACTCACTCAACATCACCCACCACTCATTTACTCACTACTCACTACTCACTATTATGTACACACTACTCCCTTCTCTCTACTCGATACTGACTAGACAGTACTGGCTACCCACTACTCACTACTCGCTACTCTCTACTCGGCGCTCGCTGCTCCCTACCTGGTACTCACGACCCACCACGCACCACTCACTACTCACTACTTACTACTCCCTACCCTCTACCCACTACACACTACAGTCTACTCGCCACTCACCACGTAAGACTCACTACTCATTACTCATTACTCACAACTCACAATTCACGATTCGGTACTCCCTTCTAACTACTGGCTAATCAAAATTCCCTACTCACCACCCACTACCCACTACTCACTAATCACAACTCGAAACTCCCCAATCACTAGTCACCAGACACTAGTCATTAGTCACTAGCCACTACTCATCACTCACCACTCACTACTCACTACTTACTACTCACTACTCACTACCCACTACTCGCTACCCACTTCTCATGCCATTACGCACTACTCGCTACTCACTACTCACTACTAAATGCAAACGACTCACCACTCGCTACTCCCTTTTCACTTACTCCCTACTCAGTACTGTCTATTCCCTACTGGGTACTCGCTACTCCCTACCCGGCAGCTGCGTCTCACTATTCTCTACTCGCTAGTCCCTACTCGCTACTCACGTCTCACTAATCACTACCCACTACTCACTATTCACTACGGACAACTCACTACTCACTACTCACTACTCACTGTTCACTACTCAGTCGTCCCTACTAACTACTCGCTACGCTCTACTCACGACTCACTAACTGCACTACTCGCTACTCACTACTCGCTACTCACTACTTTCTACTCACTACTCACTATTCACTACGCACTCCCCACTACACACCACCGGCTACTCATTACTCACTACTGTCTACTCCCTACCCACTACTCCCTACCCAGTGCTCACTATCCATTACTCTTTACTCACCACTCATTACTCACTACTCGTACCCCACTACTCACCACTCGTTGCTCACCACTCAAGAGCAGTACTCACTACCACTTACTACTACTCACTATTAACTACTCGCCACTCACTACTCACTATTCGTTGCTCTCTACTCACTACTCACAAATCAGTAGTCACTACTCACTACTCCATACTCCGTACCCACCTTCTTCGGCGTAGAAAGGAGCAGCTGGAGCGGCCCCATTTTTCCTGGCCACGGTGAGCCTTGGCCACGAAAACGTTCCCCGACAAAGATCCCATGAACTCATGAGCGGCCTGGAAACCAGAGTCCCGCCTGATCCCGAAATGGCCCTTCAGCGTTGTGACCGCACCAAACCAAATTAGGCCGCAGATTAAGCCGCATAAGCCACATGACATGTTCGGCCATCTTAGAGCTAGGTCGGACCCAAGACAAAATCACATCCTTCAAGATCATGAGACACTCCGACGGTCAAAACGCCCCAAACCACAAAATCACCCGAGGGTGCCCTTCCCCCGGATGCACCGGAACATCCAACAGACGGAGATCATTAGGGTACCCTCCCCGAGCCGACCTCGATCTTGCACCTCGGTCCGACCTTAAGACAGAAGAGGCAGATGCCTGCAGTAACAGAGACTATGTCGACCCCTATCCCAGACTTCGCGGCGTTTTCGAATGGACCAAAAATTTGGCGCCCAACCATGGGATACACGATGCGTAGGCGTCAATCCTCGATAGGGGTGCGTCCGAATAGCGCCCTGGGGGTGTATCCCAGGGTTCCCCTCTTCTTCGGAGCGGCTTCCCTCTTCGTCAAAAAGTCGGGAACTGGAAATAACAGAATCGCCTGCGATGCCGCAGCCCAGCCTCGCAGAGAGGCACCACCCAATGACGAACTCTGCCCTCCGCGAAGCGCGGTTGCCTGTTTGTCTGTTTGATTTGTTTTTGCTGTTCGTTGTTTGTTGTTTCGTTTGTTGTCGTCTTTTTTGTTTGGCTTGTTGTTTCTGTTTGCTTCCCCCGTGCCCTCGTTTCGTGTGGTTGCTCTTGGCTTTCTCTGCGCCCTCGTGCCGCCGGCTCGGGCAAGGGCGGCCCTCCGGCCCCGACCGCGGGGCGCCCTCGCCTCCGCGCCCCCGTGGGTGCCCCGAAGTGCCCGCTCGGCTGGAGCTCGTCGCCGTCGCCGTCGTGGTCGTCGTCGTCGCCGTCGTGGTCGTCGTCGTCGTCGTCGCCGTCGCCGTCGTGGTCGTCGTGGTCGTCGCCGTCGCCGTCGCCGTCGTCGTCGAGGTCGTCGTCGTCGTCGTCGCCGCCGTCGCCGCCGTCGTTGTCGTGGTCGTCGCCGTCGCCGTCGTCGTGGTCGTCGAGGTCGTCGTCGTCGTCGTCGCCGCCGTCGCCGCCGTCGTTGTCGTGGTCGTCGCCGTCGCCGTCGTCGTGGTCGTCGTCGTCCTCGTGGTCGTCGTCTGTATCGTCCGCCTTCGCGGCTCGCGCCCCGCAAGGCGCGACGCGCCGTCATCTTCGGGCCCCCCCGCGGAGGGGCCCCGCGGGGGGGCCGGGCTGAGCCCAGGGCTGGACCTGAACGTTGTTTTCGTTTTGTTTTCGGTTTGCCGTTCGTTTTGCCCTACCTGTTTTCCTGTACCGCCCAGCCAAAAAACGAAAAATCAAACACAACCGAAATCCAGGACAACAACGTTTACGTTCAGCCCTGACTGAGCCTGCCGGCTGAACTGCTCCCTCGAGAGTTGCTCGTCTCCGCGGCAAGCCTCCGTTCTTCCGCCCCGAGAAAACCAGTAGCGAGCTCTCGCCGTCGCTCGGCATCCATTCCCAGTGCATGTTTCGATATCGTGAGTGTTTCTTTGCAAGATGATCCAGGATGGTCCTCGAAGGTCCTCGCCGAGATGAGATGCACACGTCCGAGCGATGCCAAAGAGAAAACCAGTGGCGAGCTTGGCCTGGCGGCTGGCGGCGTAGCAGCGACAGAGCCGACCGAGCCTGTGAGAATGAAGTTAGGGAGCCTGCCTCACGTTGCGTATTATCTACATATATATATATAAATGTTACAATGTGCGCCATTGCTGCCACACGATCACCGGCGAACCCTAGGAGAATGCGAGGGAGGGAGAAAGGGTGGAGAGAAAGAGAGAGAGAGAGAGAGAAAGAGAGATAACTACACATACTCATCATTCGGGCATTCAAGATTCATCCACGGGAGCCCAACACTGCGGGGCTTGCAGTCGTTTATTTGCTTGTTTGCCGATTATAATGATCACTGGAATCATTCTCCACAGTCCCGTTCATACTCCCTCACCGCATCCGAATCATACTCTCTCGATGTAGCGGTTGAGGGATTATCGTTGCAGTTGGTTTTGCTCCTGGGCGCTATAAGGGTTGAAAGCTCGTCTTTGTTACCCCCATCGGTCAACACGAGCATCGTCGGCCGATCAGCGTTAAGTAGGAGCGAGGATCGAATCTTGCTTCACAAATAGTGGAGGCACTCTTGAATATGATTGCGGGCAACGTGGTAGCGACGGCTATTGATATATAACTAGAACCACGCGCGCGATACGCGCGCGCGCGCTCTTAGGTTCTAGCCGCGGCCACGGAACTCGCAGTGCAACGACTTGACGAGGAGCGCAATGGCGAGCGTGAAAACCTGACCTGACCCAACCAGACCTGTCCACAAAGCTTCTGGGAGGACCACGTGGCAAACTGCGACGGAACTCCGATAACGGGCGTCGTCGTCGTTGTGGTCGTCGCCGTCGTCGTAATTCTTCGTCTTCGTCGTCGATCGTCAATCGTCGTCGCCATCGTCGTCGTCTTTCGACCGTGTCGCCGGCGTCGTCCCTCGTCCTCGCCGTCGTCCTTCGTTATCGTTGTTCCCGTGCAAGGTGCGTTTTGGAGGGCTCTTCGGGGCCTCTCGGGGTCTCTTGGGAGCTCTTGAGGGCATTTTGGTGCGGAAGAAACGGACTGTCCGTTTGGCCTGCCGCTTTTGGAGCCGTCTTGGGCGTCTCCTCGGCCTTCTTGGGCGCCTTCAGGGCCATCTTGAAGCTCTCTTGGGCCGCCTGTGGCCTCTTGCAGGATCTCGTGAACCGTTTGACGGCTCTCTCGGGGGCATCTTCGGCCGTC